TTAGAGACAGGGTTTTGCTCTGTCACCCAGACTGAAGTGCATTGGTGCCTGGCCTCAAGTGATTCTCCCAACTTGGACTTCCAAAGTGCTGGGATTACAGGTATGAGGCACTGTGCCAGCCTATATTTCTTACTTTGTCATTGTTAGTGGTTGTCCTTGTATTTGCAATATACTTATAACTAATTCAACTGCATTTTCAAATTACACTATACCACTACACAAGTGTTACAAAATATTTCCAGTCCCTCCTTCCTGCCCCTTATGACATTATCATCATTCATTTCACAGCGTCTGTAAGCTATATCATTGAAACATTGTTGATATTATTTTGAACAAACTGTTACCTGTAGGTCACCTAAGAATAAGAAAACTAAAATGTTTTATTTTACTTTCTCGAATTTTCCTTTAACATTCTTCCTTTCTTTATGTAGATCCAAGTCTCTGACCTATATAATTTCCTTCTCTCTCAAGAACTTTTATCATTTCTTACAAGGCAGATCTCCTGACTACAAATTCCCTCCATTTTTGTTTGTCTGAGAAAGTCTTTATTTCTCCTTCATTTTTGAAGAATAATTTCATGGAAATACCATATTATATGTCTTTTTAAGAATAGCACTATTTTCTACATCATACCCTTGGAACTAATAATTTATGAACTCACAATGTAGGTCTTATTTTCTTAAAGCTGTTATCTCATGTGCTAGATCGTCGTCACTTGAGCTTAGTCATCAAGGTACTTTACTGAATACCTTATGGGTCTTGCACCTTGTAAATTTCAATAATGAAGAGAAATCCTGAGTAATGACTTTCAGGTGAAATTTGTTTTTCTGATTCAAAGCAAAAAAGACTCTGAAAGAAAACAAAGTTACAACAGCGTAACAATGAAGGTCAATCAGCCACCAATTTGTTTGGCACCCCATACTCTCCACGTTCGACTTGCAAAAGTTTTCGCTTTCAGGATCTGATACATAGTATGAATGCCATCCTTATGTGTAAAGCCCTTGGGTTGAATTTTTCCATCTGAAAACTTTGTTCAATTGATTATGGAAAATTAGTAAAAGGAATTTTTAAAATTATTATTATTTGAGACAGAGTGTCACTCTGTACCCAGGCTGGAGTGCAGTGGCATGATCTTGGCTCACTGCAACCTCCACCCGCCCAGGCTCAAGTGATCCTCTCACCTCAACCTCCCCAGTAGCTGGGACCATAGGTGTGCAATCACCATGCCCGGTTAATTTTTTTATTTTTGGTAGAGAGGAGTTTTTGCCATGTTGCCCAAACTGGTCTTGAACTCCTGGGTTCAAGTGATCCGCCTGCCTTAGTTTCCCAAAGTGCTGAGATTACAGGCGTGAGCCACTATGCCTGGCCAAAAATTTACTTTGAAAGTCTTTTTAGGGCAGACTTGTTAGCTAGGCATGGTGTCCTGCGCCTGTAGTCCCAGCTACTTGGGAGGCTGAGGTGGGAGAATCACTTGAGGCTGGGGAATAGAGGTCACAGTGAGCTGAGATCACACCACTGCAATCCAGCCTGGGTGACAAAGCCAGACTCTCTAAAGCGTACCCCAAGACAAGGGATGTGCCTTATTGAGTATGTGACTTATTGAGAAAATGATCCTCTGGATAGTGAAAGAAAAGTAACAAAACAATGATGTGGTCTCACATAAAGTCTAGCCTTGGCCTGACCCATGAGACAGGGGCTCTGGAATAAAAATTGCATAGCAGAATGGTCACTCAGTCCAGGGGCTTGACTTTTATACTGCTTCCCCCATTCATCAGTAACCAGCTGCTGGGAATGGAATGGTGGTATAATCTACTAGATGTCTCCAGATAGCCAAGGGCAATTCATGGGAGCACTTCACAGAGTTACACCATTTCGGGGATGGGTGTGTAACTGCCCAAGGGGTCCTTTTTGCCCACTGCACGCAGAAACACCACAGCATAGCAGTAAAGAAAAAGTTTAATAGACATGAGCTCAGCCACACCACAAAGGGGATGGAGTTAGTACTCAACTCATCTCCCCGAAGGCACAGAAGTTATGGGTGTTTCAAAGACAGTTTGGTGGGCAGGGGACCAGGGTAGGGGCAAGCTGATTGATTGGTTTGAGATGAAGTCATAGGGAATCGAAGCTGTCCTCTCTTGCTGAGTCAGTTACTGGGTGGAGGCCACAGGATGGATTGGCGGGTATAGGAGAGGACATGTGGCTGTCAGAAATGCAAAAACCTGAAAAGACATCACTGTATTGTAGGCTGTACAATAGTGATGTTATCTACAAAAGTAATTGGGGAAGCTGCAAATCCTATTACCTCCAGAATAACGACTGGTAACTATCTAGAATTCAGACCCATATCCTTCTAATTTGGTGGCCTTATATTAGTTTTATAAGAACAGTTTAGTCTTTGGTAAGGGGTATTATCATTTAAATTTTAAACTAAATTTCTCCCCAAATTAGTTTGGCCCATGCCCAGGAATGAACAAAGGCAACCAACCTGTGAGGCTGGAAACAAGATGAAGTAAGCATGCCAGATTTCTCTTACTGTCATAATTTAGCAATGGCTGATTCAGGTGTCGTGGCCTGTAAAAAACTGGGAAGAAAAAGAAATTGAGAGGGTTTCTAAGATTCTGTGATACTGTAAAACAATTAGGTGAGTGGAAGTTACTCAAGGTTTGTAATTTTAAGCTGAAATGTGAATGTCCCAGATGTCATCTGTTATTTAGGAAAAATAATAGATTTCATTTACTTGCTAGTATAAATCAGTAATTTTGTTTTAATGTTTTGTGTTAGTTTCCTCTGGTTGTCATAACAAATTACCACAAACTAGGTGGCTTAAAGTGATAGAAATTTACTTTCTCACAGTTCTGGAAGCCAGAAGTCTAAAATCAAGCTGTGAAGAGGGTCATGCTCCTTTTAAAGCTCACGGGAAGAATCCTTCCTTCCCTCTCTCAACTGTGGTGCTTGCCAGAGATCCGTGGTGTTACTGTAACCACCCAACAGGTTCTCCTTGCCTGCTGCCTAGCCAGAGCCAACTTATCAGGACAGGGGAATTGCAATAGAGAAAGTTTAATTCATGCAGAGATGGCTGTACAGCAGACTGGAGTTTTATTGTTTCTTAAGTCAGACTCCCCCAAAACGTGGGAATTGGGGTTTTTAAGGATTATTTGGTGGGTAGGTTCTAGTGAATAGGGAATGCTGATTGGTTGGGTCAGAGATGAAATTATAGGGAGTTGAAGTTGTCCTCTTGCACTGAATCAGTTCCTTGGTGGGGGCCACAAGATCAGATGAGGCAGTTTATCAATCTGGGTGGTGCAGCTGATCCATCAAGTGTAGGGTCTGTTAGGTTTTACAATGGAATAGTGATGTTATCCCCAGTAGCAACTTGGGGAGTGTCAGGAATCTTGCAGCCTCCAGCTGCGTGACTTGTAAACCATAATTTCTAATCTTGTGGCTAATCCGTTAGTGCTACAAAAGCAGTCTAGTCCCTAGGGAGGAAGGGGGTTTGTTTTGGGAAAGGGCTGTTATCATTTTTGTTTCAAAGTGAAACTGTAAACTAAGTTCCTCCCAAAGTTACTTCAGCCTATACCCAGGAATGAGCAAGGACAGCTTGGAGGTTAGAAGCAAGATGGAGTCAGTTAGGTCAGATTTCCTTCACTGTAATAATTTTCTCAGTTGTAATTTTGCAGTGGCAGTCTCATTCCCTGGCTTGCGGCCAGTAACTGCAATTTCTGCCTCCATCTTCACAAGGCATCTTCCCAGTATGTCTGTGTCTCTGTGTCCAAACTCCCCTCTCTTTCTCCTTATAAAGATACCAGTCACTGAATTACAGCCCACCCTAAACCAGAATGACCTCATCATAACTTGATTACTTCTGCAAAGACCCTAGAAAGGCAGATTTATTAGAGAAATTATGAAAATAGGTTGCAAGAAAGCAGTGGCCAAATGAGCATGAGAGAAGTTGACTGCAAAGAAACAAAGGCTTGCTGGAGATTGTATAGAATAGTGTTTATGGTGTAAACTGAAGAGGGCTTTGTGCAGTGCTGATAATCTTGTGCCAAGGTTGAAGTGAGCTGTCTTGCAGGTGCGTGGTGATAGTTGAGCACAGGAAGATTGTGAGTTATTTGTGCAGGAGGACTGTGTGTCCTGGACCATGAAGAAAGGCAGATTTATGGCTTATCTGCTTTCTGTTCTTGCTTTCCCTTGGTCCTGCCAGCTGGACTCCTTTTCCCTAATTAGGACTCCAAGTTAACTTGGGCCATGCCCAGAAATGAGTGAAGACAGTCAGCCCATGAGGTTAGAAGCAAGATGGAGTCAGCCACAGCCATGTCAGATTTATCATACTGTCATAATTTTGCAAAGGCATTTTCAGAGTAAAAGAATTAAACACTTGGCCCTAATTGTTCAATAAATAAGACAAATGATAGAAAGCAATGATGTAGTGAACTTTATTGCTTGTTTGTGTGCCAAATATCCTTCTAAAATATTTTGTGTGTACTTACTCATCAACTATATTAGGTTGGCTTATTACTATTTTCATTTCACATGTGAAGAAAGTAATGCCAGCAGAGCTAGAGCAATTTGCTCCAGCTCCCTTAGCTATCAAGTGAAGTAGCTAAGATTTGAATACAGGCAGTGTAACGTACTTCAACAAGGCCCCAATCAAAATGAACAGCAGTGAGGTCCAGAAATAAGGGACAATTTTCCAATTATTTTATCTTGCTACTTAACGGTACTTAGAGTAACATAGTAGCCACATTGTAAATATTTCTCATTAAAAAGTAAAAAATAGGCTAGGTGCGGTGGCTCATGCCTGTAATCCCAGCACTTTGGGAGGCCGAGGCAGGCAGATCACTTGAGGCAGGAGTTTGAGACCAGCCTGGTGACCATGGTGAAAACCCCATCTCTACTAAAAATACAAAAATTAGCCAGGCATCGTGGCCCGTGCCTGCAATCTTAGCAACTCTGGAGGCTGAGACATGGGAATAGCTTGAGCCCAGGAGGCAGAGATTGCAGTGAGCCAAGATCATGCCACCGTGCTGGAGTCTGGGTAACAGAGCAAGACTCTGTTTTTTTTTTTTTTTTTTTTTTTTTTTTTTAAAAAAAAAAAAAAAAAAAAGGTGGCAACCATGCCTTTTGCAAATGTCTCAATTTTTTGTTTGTAGCTACTAATGGCTTCGTTGTTCATTAATTCCTTATGTTGTGAAGTCAATTATAGAGCTGGAGATTTTTGGAATCTAGAGAAATTTTGTTTATCTACGTGCCTACTTCATTTATCTACATGCTTGAAACTGTAACACATTGTAAGTGCTCAAAAAACATTTTATCACAGTTTAAAGCAAGACATTCGAAACTGATTGAAGTGGGTCACACGCATTATTCTTTGACAGTGTTATACGTTTGCATTGTCCTCCTCCTAAGAATTTACTTTTTAAAAGTAAGGAATCTGAGCGGGATGCAGTTAAACAATTTGGAATGTATCTAATTGTATCCAACTGCTGTTATGTTTGGTGAGAATTTTTGGCAATTAGTGGGAAGACGCAGTTCCTCGTCAAGAAAACAATTTTTAGAAACATCTGATTTTCTCAGGAAAACATCAGGCCCCACTGGGAGTCGAACCCAGGATCTCCTGTTTACGAGACAGGCGCTTTAACCAACTAAGCCATAGAGCCACGTGGAAACACCGTTTAGAAGTGAATCTACTCATTTTACTTTGACAAAATGAGTTTATCGAGTGTTACCTGCTGTCTTCAAAAAATATGCCAACTTGAGAGATAATTCATTTCTTCAGTCGCTTTTAAAAACATACGAATACTCGGGGAAAGGTATCCAGCAGTTTACAGTGTCAACGGATTTTTCTATTAATCCAAGAAACAGCATTACGGAAAACTATACAATACGTCAGGACCATTAAGAGGAATATAGTTATACATAATTTAAAAAAACCTTTGAATCTTTAAAGTCACTCGCTTAAGGTAGGCGAAGCTGTAAGATTTGCCGGAGGAAGAGCAGGCCTCTCTCGCGTGGAGCCGTGGGACCGGGCGCTGAGGCGGTCTTCGGCTGCAGGTGTCAGCCCGGGGGCTCCTCCTCAGGTCCTGTGACGTCATTCTCAGGGGGGCAGTCAAGTTCTGTGTCCCGTGGGGCCGCTCAGGAGGGTGCGTGGGTGGGGAGGGGCTGGGCCACCGGACTCCGCAGCTTTGGGCTCAAGGAATTTGGTCGACACTTTAAGACTGACCAAGAAAAAAACATTTGGCGCAGTTTCTTTCCAGCCTCTCTTTCCTCCTGCTCCTCCTGCACTTTTTTTCTTTTTTTCTTTTTCCCGCAGTCAGTTCTGGAAGTCAGTTGTACAGGAGATAACGCGTTCTCCCCTGCAACCCGTCCTTGCCCCACGCCCCGCCCAGAGGTCCCGGTTCTCATCCCTCCTGGAACTTGCGCAGAGCCCCGCCCGCGGGCTTCGAACCGACTGCCGCTCCGCGTCCACGAGCGGGCCCCGTGTCGGGCGGGGCAGGGCCGTGGGAATTGGGGTGCATCTGCGGGGCCCGGGGCCCCCAGGACAGGCGGGGACTGGGATGATTGAGGGGTGAGGGCCAGGGAGGCTGGGACTTGGGAGGGGAGACCCGGGACCGCCCAGAACGCTTCAGTGGAGTTGGAGAGGGCGGGGCGCAGCCTCTCCCGGCCGGTGGGATGCGGATACGCATCAAGCGCAAACGGATTCCGGTCCTGGATTTTGGGAATTAAGGCCCTGAACACATCAGCAAAGAGCACATCTGTCTGTACAGACGTTTCTTCCTGCGTATTTCATAGTAAGGACTTTTTTAAAAAGCAGGGACTCGGATCCTAGGTGGGTACAGCTGGGAGGCTGGGAGTGGGGAACGCACGGTTGTGCTTGTTAAAAATAACTCTCCGCCGCCTACTGCTGAACGCAGGTGGCGAGAATGAGACGTCAACTCGGCGCCGGCTCAGTCCCAGAGCCAGGTCAGCCACGGGGATTTTCAAGCGTTTTCTGTGACTGATTTTTCTGGAAGCGAATGGATTTTACTCTCCCTGTTTCGCACCCAAGTAACGTAAAAGGCAGCGCTGAGACCGAACTCGGGTCTCCTGGGTCCTGGTTGGCTGGAAGGGGGGAACAACCAGGAAAGAATTGTGTCTGTCGTCAGTATCTGGAGGACTCATTACAGGGTAGGTGATCAGGACTGGTGTTTGGCAGGTGGGAATCTTTGAGACGGTCTGTGCACACAGTTTTGATTCTCCTTTTGCCAGTTTGGAGGACATGACATTCCCGATATGTGAGTGTTAAAAGGGGATAGGGAAGGTCATATACACACGTTCTAAAAGAATTGCTTTTCGTGGAGGCAAAGTGGCTAAGCAGTGCAGAGCGCTGGATCAGGGCTGTCAGCTCTTGGGGTGTGGAGGTTCTAGCCTGTTGTTTAGCCACAGAAGTCATGAAACTACTATGTGGTATTTGTTAAATAATGAGTTTTGATACTTAAAATAGAATTCCTGGAGTAAATTTTGTTTGGTTCTGTTGAATTCGTTATTCTTCCACACACTAGCCAGATTCTACTTATTAATATTTTATTTGATATGTTGATCTTTAGATGTATGAATTGAATTGTTCTCATTTCATTTTGTTTATATTTTGGGTTTTATTTATATCAGGTGTTGGTAACCTTAATGAAAGTATTCGGCAGTTTTCCACTTCTTATGCCCTGAAACTATTCAACCGACAAGAATTTCCTGATCCTTGACAAGCTGACAGCACTGGGCTAAGAGAATGAGGAGTTTTCATGGGACTTAGAAGCGAAAAGATTGTGGACAGTCTCTTCATCTATCTCAGTGGTTATTAGTCTGTGAGGATGTATCACTGGAGTGTGTCATATAGTGTCTCAGATCCTCCCTTTCTTATTTGTTGAGAGATAATGATGCAGAAAATTAAATGACTTACTGCTTATTCTAGTATGATGCCTGGGACATGCAAGCCTTCAGTTAATGTTATTCATTATTGTCACATCAATATTGGCAATTTATATTGTCTTAAATACTATCTCATTCACTATGCTTAGATTATCAGGGATTATCAGATGCAGAGGTACAAAAGTTGTAAATCATGTTTGCTTTTTACTTATGATGCATCTCTTCTCTCTTTGTAAATGTCTCCTCTCTCATCACTAATTTTGAATTCTAATTTCATATTTTCCATTGATTAGACACTCCACAGATTTGTATTTCAGTTTTATTTACAAAAATACTTTCTTAGCTCTCCTAGTGGGTAAACAGATTTTCTGTTAATTCCTTTTTTCTTCTCTCATTTGGTGTATTTTGTTGGTCTTTTATTTGCTTCTGAAGCAAAATACTTACCAGTATTTCAGTTGTTTAAAAATCTTTCTCATTTACTTAAAAAATGCACTTGAGGCCGGGCGCGGTGGCTCAAGCCTGTAATCCCAGCACTTTGGGAGGCCGAGGCGGGTGGATCACGAGGTCAAGAGATCGAGACCATCCTGGTCAACATGGTGAAACCCCGTCTCTACTAAAACTACAAAAAATTAGCTGGGCATGGTGGCGCGTGCCTGTAATCCCAGCTACTCAGGAGGCTGAGGCAGGAGAATTGCCTGAACCCTGGAGGCGGAGGTTGCGGTGAGCCGAGATCGCGCCATTGCACTCCAGCCTGGGTAACAAGAGTGAAACTCCGTCTCAAAAAAAAAAAAAAAAAAAAAAAAAATAGACCCGCTCCCGTCCCACCCTCCCCCCCCCCCCCCCCCCATCTTTGCCACCTGCTTTTGTAGCATTTGCTGAGAGGCAATGATGATGATACATTTTGTCTTTTCCTGAGAGGTGATGATGATGATACACGTTGTCTTTTCCTGAGAGTTGTCGTTGATGATACACGTTGTCTTTTCCTGAGAGGTGATGATGATGATCCATGTTGTCTTTTCCTGAGAGGTGATGATGATGATGATACATGTTGTCTTATTCACATTATATTCCAGCTAGTCTGTAATTTTAGTTTTGATTTTTTGAGGCAAGATATTTTTAGAAACATTTGACATTTTTAAAGTATGACATTTTATACTTTTCTGCTTATATTTTGATGCTAATTTCTATCTCTATTTTCTAGTACAGCATTAATTTTCTAAATTAAAAAGCATTTTGATATTTTCTTACTGGACCATTGTATAATTCATAAATTTCTTGGGCGGTTTAAAAATTCTGTATTTTCTATACAGAATTTTATGATGCCTATCAGGTCAATTTTTTATTCTTATTTGTCTTTTATAATATTTATTTCTTTGTCCATTGATAGTTCTTGAACTGAGAGCAATAAATTGAAGTCAATTACTAAATTGTGTCTGTCTTTCTACTGTGTCTCCACTGAATTTCTGTTGAATGAAAGTTGCTGCTTTATTCTGAGCATGAATATCAAAAAACAAAAATTTTTATCTCCACTTAAACTGTAATTTTTAGCATTTTGCAGTACCCTTTTTTATTTAATGAGTGTTGTTCAAAATTCCACCTCACATGATTTTAAGTCCTTGAGTCCTTTCTCTTTGTGAGTTTGCCTGATATTTTTGTCTGTTCTTTGTTTTTAAACTTCCTGATTGTTTCCAAGCCTGTGGGAAAGTGGCAAGCTGTAAGGAGACTCTGTGACAAGGTATATGCAGGGAACAAAGAACTCAAAAAGACTCCAAGGTACATGCAGGAAACAAAGAGCTCAAAAAGACTAGTTTTTTATTTTCACAGCGTTTAAAAAGGCAATGACTCTAATTAAGAGATACTTAATCTTCACTGGTGTATGTGGTCGTAGCAAAAATTGTAATCGAGGTATTGAATATATCAAATGTCACTCTGTAGAGAAGTTGTGGGAATGGAGTCTCTGATTCTAGCCAAGAACTTCCCAGATGCTCGAGTAAAATATGTTCCCGACCTGAAAATCTAGTGCAAGTGGAAGATTCAATCTTTTAATGTTGATGCTTTCTGTGTTCCATCTTTGGTTGCCCTTTTCTCTGAGATGGTATTTAAAGGACTATTCCATACCCTTATATCTTTCAATCTTCCAAAATACACTTATAACTTCCAAATATCTGACAGAGACTTTTTTAGAATACCATATGATTATAGCCAACTGCCTACAAGAATTTTCCACCTTAGTATCTCATACATACCCTGACGTATCAAGTTCCTCCTGTTACTGCTTTTCTTTTTGAATAGCACCACAGTGTATTCTGTTAAACTGAAAACTGTGTAATTCCAAACAAAGATGACTCTCTTTGTCCCCTCATGCATTTTTTTCATCAAGTGAATATGATGTCACTGCTGTTTAGACTCAAATAGTGATCCTTCCCTGACTAGTCATGGCAATCAGTATGACATTCTAAGCAGAACCTGCTATTGTGAAAACAAAATTTGATGGAATTGAGAGTGTTTGATATTCAGTTAAATTATTAGTGAGTCAATTATGCCAAATGTAAAGTTTTACTTTTAATTTGTTAATTGTTTTGTCTCTAGAGAAGCTTTTATTCTAAATAGAGAGATATAAACCTGATGTTTTGATGAACACATATAAAAAATGAATCGTTTGGCATAAAGAGATAAATTTGCCAAAAAACTTATGAGAAATAATTATAAATGATGGCATATATTATGCCAAATTTATTCTTTTTTACATGAAGGGAATTGTGGACATTGACCTGATTAGTTTGGACTATCAAGAGCAGAGTTGAACCATAATCCCCACAGCACCTCCAAATCCTGAGACAAGCTTTTCATCCCCACATTCATGCTGTTTTCTGTCCGCTCTGTCCCCCAACTGATGGGGCTCCTTAAAATGTAGGGTGGGTTTGAACTTTGGTTCTTAACAAAGGACCCAATTATGGAGGATTTGGAAAAGTCTTTTTTCCCCTGGGCCTTATACCCCACGCATGTAATGCAAGGCCACATCAATTGTCCATGCACTCATAAGTTGCAAGGAGATAAGTTGGAATAAAGCGTTTAAAATCTGTTTATATTTGGGGTTTAGATAGGGTCTGTGAAAATGCTGGTTTAAGAAAGCAGAAAGTGGGTGACTAAAGAAGTCCTTGAAAGCAGATATTGAGAGCTTTGTTTTTACATA